TATATATATACACCGATGTTCAGCCACGACGCAAGCGTAGCCCAGTAGCCTGTTGTGCGAGTCCTACTACACTAGATCTCTCGTTTGTAGGCCAGGGTCGAGGGACGGGAGGGAAAGAAGGGGAGTTAGGGGGGTGAGAACGGCCTTTATCGAGCGGCTTCTGCGCGAGCTCGCCCCAACGCTAACGCCGTCGTTCTCGACGTTTTCACCCCCAGGGGCGGATTACCCCCTCCGACATGTCGCCGGTAACTTTGCGGAACGCGTAGCCGCCGTCTCCTAGTTTAGAAGACATTGTGAGGAGTCTCAGCCCTTGTTGGTTAGACAGAGAAGTCGTTAATCTTCCAGCGAAGAGACTCTCTCAATTAAGAGACCCCTCTTAAGTGGAGATCTACTTCTTAATTAAAGATCTCCGACTCACAATGAGATTGTAAATACTGCTGTTTATCTAAGATCTTAGGTCAGACCCGGTAAAGATTGTGCTACTTTCATAAATTCCAGAAAATCCTCACGAGTCTCACCGACATCAGACACTCCCCGCCGAGATAAAGCCTCCTCATCTCGAGCTAGGATCCGAACTGTCTCAATTCGGTCCTGCCGATCCCCACCGCGTTTCGCACGTTCTACCCCTTCCCATTCCGTCGCGACAAATCTGTTACGAGATTTCCACCTTCATCCTCGCCCACCTCATGGCAATGAATTTGAACGGGACGCAGATTCCCGCGGACGGGGTGAGAACGACGACGTTCGGGCATTCGCGGCGTCTGCGTCGGCTCCTACATAAAAGAAAGAGAAAGAGAAAGGGTGAGAAAGAGTGATATATGTGATATTCTCTTTGCTTCTTATATTTGCGGCCGCGGATCTAGACGCTCGTATCTCCACCTTCGTATATTCGGCGCGGCCGGTGAGAATGGCCTCTTAAAAGAACGACCTGTATGTATTCTTTCTCGCTACCGAAACATCGGGCCGATCTGGCCTGACGGGCCAAACGTTGTTCAGTCCACCGCAATCGATCGCAATAGTGCTTCGAATACGAGAGCTCAAGGTGCGCGACCTCCGAGTGTGCGACTAGATCTCGTCCTGCGACGATTTGTCCCATGTTTATCCATTACTTGTCTGATTTCGAAGTCTGGTGTTCCCATAGAAGGTGCCTCAGGTGTCAGGTGCGAAATCCTGTCTCAGGATGAGCTGTGCCTTGTCGGAACTGACGAAACGCGCATTCGAGGCAAGCTATTCGCGCGCGGTGATAGGATCTACCCCACTATCCTGCACGTTGCTCTAGCCGCTGTGTTCCGCTGTGTTCCGCCATCCTCCCTCGTTCCTTCCTCGTCGTCGCAGTCCAGTTTCCCCCACTTTGCGTGCACCCCGCCTTTTTTCTCTTTCTCTCTCTCTCTCTCTCTCTCTCTCTCTCTCTCTCTCTCTCTTTGTCTCTCTTTTCCTCTCTCTTTTCTCACCCCCTCGCTGTTCGCCACTAGGAAAACCCCTGTGTCGGCTCTTCACACGTTTGCTCCTCGCCGAGAGCGGGGCAGTTTTCGTACGACGCGCCCTTCCGTCGAGTCGCCGAGAGAGAGAGAGAGAGAGAGAGAGAGAGAGAGAGAGAGAGAGAGAGAGAGAGAGTGGGGGAGGTATAAGAGAGGGAGATAGGAATGCACACAAATTGCGGTGCAATCTACTGCAATGGTGTGTGACAGACGAGGCTGAAAGTGTAACCGAACGATGGAATTAAAGAGGCGCGATCCGCCACGATCGTCCACCTCGGGAATTCCTCCTCGTGGAAGCAGTTGAGCGAAGTGCAAATGCTTTCTCGTTCGTACCACCTGATCTCGGAGATAGAAAGAGAGAGAGAGAGGAGGGGAGGGAGAGAGAGAGAATGAGATAGATGAAAAGAAGAAGAAGAGAGAGAGAGAGAGAGAGAGAGAGAGAGAGAGAGAAAGAGGGAGAGAGAGAGAGAGAGAGACGAGAGATAACGTCCCGCGAGTGCAACGAGCTAATCCGCGAAAACGCAGAGCAATTTCTCCCAAAGGGATTCTTCCCGGCATCTTTTTCTTGCGATATCAGTGTGGAACGTGAATTGTGCAGGTGCGTCTCGAATGCTTTTTTTTTCCATCTTTTCTCTTTTCGGAGCTTTTCCTTTGAAGAGATGCGTTCTTTAACCAAGTGTTCATTCGTCGCGGCTGATGAAATTATTAATCTTCGTAGCTACTTTGTTATTACGTATGTAAATAAGTATTCTAATATCGTCGTTCTCGCGTTAAAGCATCCGTCTCGATCCTTTGAGAGAAATATCAGCGAGCTAGACGCGAATTTGCTGCATCATTTATAATACGTACAGCTTTTAGCTTGATTACAGGCTAATTGCAATATGCGCTTTGTACGAGATCAAAGATTGAGATCAAAGGAAATCCAACAACTGATCTAGATGTAATTGACGAAAAGATTTTATGATACGCGTCTCTGACACGTTCCTATTTTAATGAATTAAATTTATGCAATTGATTTATGCACGAGAAAAAAAGCTTCCTGTAAAAACTTTTCGAATGACAATATCCGTCGATTGGACGGATATCATTGGTTTTTGCACTTTTTTGTTAGATTTACTGGCCACACAAATCGGCTCGCAGTTTTATTTTAAGAGTAGGTCAACATCACAGGATGCGCTGCACTTTCGCATGCAATTGCATTTGAATCTGAACGGCAAATTGATAACTTTTATGTAGTAGTAAAGTAGTGGCATTTCCAGTTGCGAATATCCAAATCTGGATAATATCCTGATAGAAAGTTATTCATATTTATGTTAGTGATTGTAATACCGATACTTCGCTCTACGAAATGGAGGTACTCTCTTTAAAATAAATTACGTTATATATATAGATTATTATTATCAGATTGATAACAGAATTTTATAGGCGTCGACTGTAATTACTATAAATTAAAATATACATTTTTACATATTTATTGTACTTATTTATTTTTGCATTTTACATATTTATTATACCCATTTATTATGTAAATCTCTCTATACATACAGATTTATGAACCGGATGCCAATGTAATACTGATATCAATGATGAAAGATTAAATAACGTAGACAAATAATGAAAAATTATTAATTTGTTCCGATATTGCAATCACTTATTTATAACTTCTCTGTATCGATAAAGTGTTAAGCTACTATGACCAATTCATTTTTGAGGCAAAAGTTTTAATATGAATAAAATAATATTTTTGAAATAAAAATAATATTTCTTTAAACTTTTCAGTATTTAATTTTCAAATGTTAAATTAGCAGCTGTTAATAGCTTTATGGTATCAATTCGAGAGTTTAAAAAAAGGCAAAAACAATTGTGACATTTAATATTATGTTATATTTTACATTTAAAAAAGAGCTGTTGAGTTTTAATATATATTACATTTAAAAAAGAGCTGTTGAGTTTTAATATATATTACATTTAAAAAAGAGCTGTTGAGTTTTAATATATATTACATTTAAAAAAGAGCTGTTGAGTTTTAATATATATTACATTTAAAAAAGAGCTATTAGGTTTTAATAAAAATAAACGTTTTTAGAACATGATCTTTTTCTATCTTAAAATTTGTATATAGTTTCGAAAATCTTATTTTAAGAAATTCTTCTTTAACATTCAACTTCCTTCTATACTCTTTAACTAAAACTGCTTATGTCCTGGTCATGCGCCTTTAAAAAAACTTATAATAAGTGATAACTCATACTAACTCACTTACTAATTAGCGATGTGATATTAAGTTACGAGGTCGTCGTAAAGAGTCCGTGAATTGTCGTTGTAATTAATATAACTTTCAACTACATCAATCAACTTTTTTCTTGGCGGTCGACCAAATTAATTAATTCAAATAAGGAAAGCGAAATTTCTTCAACATCGTCGTTACACACCGCAATTATATATTTTATTGCGTTCTACAATTTTCATCGAAAATAAACAATTGCGCGAAGAAACAAAGCGTTTCGCATGTTTTATACACTTAGTGTGTCTCGCCTTGGCGAGCGAAATCAGAACGCATGCTGCATCGTAAAGTGTGTTTTGCCGTTATGTAGCAAAATACGTCGTGTCAGCATCAAACCAATATATTGGGCTAGAATTTACATAAACGCATGCAGCCTTGTGCTTCTGTCATATCCGAGTGTGTGCAAGCAAAACATGTCTATTCCTATGCGCCACTTTGGCCAACGGAAACGCTATTTTTCTGCCAAGAAATATCTCGACTCTCGGGGTGTCCCTGACAGTGAACAGAATTTTCTCTGTGCGATCAATCGCACTATTTACTTGAATTAAATATTGCACGGAGAAATTTGTTCGTTGAAGGCGACTAAATACCATCTCGGATATTTATTGTATGCACACCTGGCTATATTACTGGCAAAGTGGGTTAACGTACTTCCAGGTCCTTATAATCCATCTTATTGATCTTAAAGTAATCGATAAACTCGCGTTCTTTAAACCCCCAATCCCCTGTCCGCTTTCTGAAACAATGCCAGCAGTTTCCAACGGGGATTTCGCTTTTCATTTATAATAACTCTTCGCGGAATATCCGCTATTTCGTATTCTACGATGACGCGGCTGCTTTCGACGCGTATAATTTAAAGGCGCGTCATTGTTCATTCGAGAAATCTCGGTTTGCCTGTTCTTTAAGACGAGATCACGCGACGTACGTCAGAAGCGCGGCAACGACAATTTATCAATAACTTGTCCCACTTTCTTGAAAGAATAAGCGCACGTTTCCTCTTTCGAGCGAGGCAATCGTGCCTCGTGTATCGCTAATCGATACTCAAGACAAATTCCTTCTATCATTATTTTCCCTGCGCCAGCCACGTATATCATCTTTCAGAGAGTTTTTTTTTCAACCGATATTTCTTTTTTCTCTTGCAGGGCGTCACTATCGTAGCAGGTAACTTCTTGAAAGACGGTTCTATTTTTCACACACGACACACACCGCTCTGTATTGAAAAGTTGATCGCTCCCGCTCGCGCGCCGAAGGTGCTGCTTAAAACGCGGCCCCCTTTCCCGTTTTTCCGATGGCCGCCCGAGGCCAGACGAGAATGTATCCGCATGTAAACGGAATCCTCCCCGTTGGGACGACCGTACGGGAGTTCGATAAAGAGGCCGCAAAAAGCAAGACGTGAATATAAATGCGCGCTCGCGCTTTGAGAATCAGAACGTACGTGCGTTCCTTTTCTGAAATGCAGTCTCTCGCGTTACGTAGGCAGATGCAGCTTATCGAGAGGCACGATTGCAAAAGCGAGGCTCTCCGAATGCAGAGGAAAATTCAGAATAACGTCATGCATGATAATGTTGGCGAGCTGGAATAAATCACCAATGATTACCGGCGTGCTAGGATAATAAATTATCAAGGCGGCAGACAAAAATAAAAAGAGAAAGAGAGAGAGAGAGAGAGAGAGAGAGAGAGGAACTGATAACACTGCGATTGCAAAGAAAGAGAAAATTGCCGAAAGAGAAGATCGAGAGTCACGTGGTTCGCGCATTTTCGCGCTGCGTATCGCGCGATGATACGAGCGGATGATACGTGACGATTTGACAGACTCGATCGCGATACGTTGAGGATGTTGCTTGACAAGGTGTGTCTCCACCTTGCCGACGAGGATCGAATCGGATCGTCAAGAAATAAACTCAAGAGACTGAGGATGACTGCGGCCGAACGAGGACTTGTGCACGACTCGCGTTTTTAAATAACAGTAACGCTATAAGAACGCGCCCGTCATCGCGCCGGCATCATGGGGAATGGCATGAACAAGGTGAGAAATTGCTTTATCAAGAAAGCTTATACTTTCAGATCGATACTTGGGCATTTAGCTGAAAGAGAAGGAAACGAATGCATTTTTCATACCGGTAGAAACGTAGATCGGGGTTCAAGAAGTTCTCTTCTATTCAAGAATAGTCTTTAGAACGAAATTGTATAGGACGTCTCACTTCTCGCGAAACATATTAAATATTTATCACTTTTTTTTTTTTTTACGATGGATATAAATTCTAAAACAGGATCGAAACGTTTGATACTCAATTTGCATTTATTTAGCGAGCCTTGTATAATTTATTCGATAATATTGCATTCTGTTTCCTGCATTTTCTGTTATCAATGTTTCTTATTATCTATTGATGGAATATTTGAGAGAGAGGCTTTATCGTGGACGCACGAGGCGTTTTAAAATATTCGCTTTTACTTCTGTCGTCTCGACTACTCATCTCTCGTATCGTCTTCTTTAGCCTATTGATAGACAGGAATTAATTGGCCACTTCATACAAAAGATTTAATGAAAGTATCCAAGCGTCTAAAGAAACTTGTCTTAAAAATTTAATGATTCTGAACAAAATGAAATAAAAAATCAAAGGACACTGTGGAGATATTGTGATTCCACAATAATTTTTTGTTCTATTAATAATTCCATTTAAAATCTTTCAAAGAGATTTTTTTTCTCAAAGAATGAATCATATGTTTGTTATCGCTTTGGATTGCAAATACTATTAAACAATAGCCAACGGATCTTTGTTAAACGCATCTTTTTTTTTTCCGGAGCAACGAGAGGTGAGATTTCCTTTTTATAGAGTAACTACAAGTTCCATTTCGACCGAAGGATCGACTTCACGCCTTTATTACTTCCTCAATAACTTGTTTAAACGCGTTTCAATATAACGACTTACTAGCGTTGTCGTAACCGCGAGCTTAACGACCGACATAATACGCTTGATAATAATAAAATTTTACGTCCGGTAACGGACGCGATCATACGGTTCATAATTCCGAAACGGAAGTACGAGAAATAAACCTGACAGAAATGTTGCGGAGAAATGGAACTTCATTTACACTAATCCCCTTTGATTGCGATTTAATAAAAATACGATAGAACCATTAAATAAGTAACGGGTCGATAATTTAACTTACACGTTGCAACTTTTAACGCATATATTTCTTCTTTAAACCACTTTATAGAATTTTATCTTACTTTGATATAAATTGTCTGCGCATTACTAAGCGTAATGGATCAATAATCCGTTTGATTGAAGATATTGAATAGAGAATATTTTACATATAAGAACTTTATTCTAAAATAAAATTATATAGTCACAATTTTTGACAATGACGCAATATAGAATTTTGTAAAACAGTTGCGATGAAACAAAAGAAAACGAATTAGAACAATATATGTAATGTTTCTAATCGGCAATTGTCCCAATTTTATTTTTTCCACTGCAAAATGTTTAATTATTTCTATTATCTACACTGAACTATCTATTATCTACACTGAGTTTTTAAACTATTTAAAAACGAAATATAACCACGTAACATATTTTCCTTGAAACGTCTTGCTTGATAGTGTCAAAGTTTCTTTTATAACCTTACAAATTACGATACAGCATTTCCAAATGTATATTTTACACACAAACAACATTTTATATTTCACGCTCATACATTTGATATACCGAGAAGAGCATAGACCGTGATTATCTCGTTGCGATTATCTCATCTTAATCCACGATCGGTCGACGATCCACGTTCTCCAGCGAATTCGATGTCGCCTCCATTCGTGAAGCTCTCACATTCCGGAGATTATCTTGGAAAAATGCCTGATCAAGTACGTCGATAATTTTCATCTTTTTCTTCCTTCTCCTTCCACATGTTTTCCTCATGCATTTGATTTTGTATCGTTTATGAGAGTTTCGATTGGTCTCGCGTGTTGCGTTCCTCGCAGCTTCCGCGATCGTCATCGCGTTAATCGTCAACGGGGCAACGTTGGGAGTTGTAAAGGTAATATCCATGAAATGCTGCGACGTCGTTGAAGTTTCCATTGTTGATTCCGACGTGCGGTTTAGAGTACTCGCAGAGTCATTCCTGTCACTCTTGTTGCCAATGGAAATAAATAGATTCTTTACGGTAGATAATCCTTTCAATTCTCTCGGTGTTTTGCTTTTGAGCAACGACGATTTTGTAGTTTTCCGATTGTACCGTTTTCGACACCTGCATTTCTTTTTTCGTTTATGATGTATCACTAAAGAATCAATGAGATTCTCGGCCACCTGTTTTAACGTTTTCGATATTTGATGTCTGATCTCGTCCGGCTCCAAAATCACATCCTCGGTATAGTTCGATGGAGAACGATGTTGGGACACCGGAAATGACAGGGCGGATGACGTGAAGCTCGGAACGTTTCTCGGAGAACGTACGCGGAGGGTTTCGATGTCACTGAATGGATGATAGGTGGATCGCGATCGATTTCCCGCTGTTATCTGTACGTCGCGGAGAATTGCGCAAACACACCAGACCACCAGCGATCGGAATCGCATTTTCGTCGCCAACAATACAGGCTGCTTTGTTTAATATTATTTTTATTACTCGTTCTTGTTTAATATTATTTTTATTACTCGTTCTTTTCACGAATATGCTGTCCTCCTTTTTTCTACCTTTACGTTTTTCCTCCTCTCTTCGTTCCTGATCGATCGATGGCGGGACTGCGATGTGGTCTCGTCGATTTGGTCGTTCATTCTCATCTAAAATCAATGCACGTGGAGTAGAGGAGAAGGGAGCAGATTCAGCGATACAGTACGGGGGAGACGGGGGAGGGTAATCACCATGCGATAAAAAAGTTCGAATGAAATTAAATCGCGGGGGAACTGAGACTAACGACCTGCGTCGGGAAAGAATGGATGTTTTTGTAGTAGTTTATTGCGACGAGAAAATAAATGTCACACACACGTTGTTGAAGAGATTGCCGTAACAGATTGCTTTTCTGGACGTCTTAATTTGCCTATCGCTCATCGCGTTGACTCGCTCCCGAAACTCATTTATATGGAAGCAAAGAGGATCCTCCAGTGTAAAATCGAACCGGCGATTAAAATGAAATCAATCTCGATCGAACAATCGTGGAAAGGGAAAAACGGTAGAGTTTAAACTAATGTATGCCTCCAGCTTGTAGCTTAAACACGACTCTTCATCAAAATTCAATATTTGCAACAGTAAACTAATCTAAGATTACCACGCCGTTGACGGCCATCACAAATTCATCACGCAGGTTTGCTTTTTTCTCCTACGGTCTGACCTGGATTTCTTCGTCGTCTAATCTTAAGTAATCTTTCGTCAAATAGACGCCGAAAGAGGCTCGATATTTTAAATTAGGGCCCGAAAAGGGAAAGACAGATAAGACTATTTTAAGAATGATAAAAATGAAATAAAAATGACTTATTTGTTAATTAAAGTCACGGTTGAGGAAGCGCGCTTTACAATGCTTCAAATTAATTATGAGTTAATTATGATTATGAAGTCCTTGATTACGGAGTATCTAATATTAAATATTAAGTACAATTAAAACTCGCCTCTCGAAATGTAATTTTCTCACGCTTTCTTTTGCAGGTGCTTCCTGGTCTTTACGTAGGTAATTATCAGGATAGCAAGGACGCCGATCAGTTGGAGCGTTTCGAAATCACGCATATTCTGGCTATTCACGACACAGCTCGCCGTTTGCACTCCGTAAGTACAAATAATGCGCAGAGTACGTATTTTAGAATGAATAATAGCTGAAGGATAGATTAGAAATGTTCATATTCTCTGTAAAAATACAATTATATTATTATACTACATCTCGGTTGCGTTTCAGGACAAGCATTATCTATGCATCTTGGCCGCCGACAGTCCTGATCAGAATTTGTCGCAATACTTTTCTCTGTGCAACGACTTTATTCATGCCGCCCGTCTTCGCGGCGGAAATGTTCTGATCCATTGGTAGATATACATTTATTTTGCTGCACCGTATACAGGATATTTCAAAATCGTTGGATTATTCTTTTTGATTAGAATTTTTTAATCGAATTATAAATTTTCTTTAATGGAAATACCGAATCTACTATTTTTTTTCTCCCTAATTATCGATTAAAAAAGCAAATTTTGTAACGAGTGAAAAATGGCAGCAAGAAAAAGATGTAAACGTTTAAGCACGAGGAAGGTACAAGTAACTTGGTCAAAGAAGCTGAGATTAGAAGAATCAATTCAGTGATTTTGAAAATATATACAAATATTCAAAAATTCCGATAAAATTTGCGATTTATTTAAACAGAAAATAGAAGCTGAATTTTTATGAATAAAACGTATTTTTTTTAGTTTGGCAGGAATGTCGAGGAGCGTGACAGTAGCGGTGGCCTATATCATGAGCACCACCAGTCTATCTTGGAAAGAAGCGCTCAAAGTCGTTAGAGTCGGTCGTTCGATTGCAAATCCGAATGCTGGTTTTCAACAACAGCTCAAGGATTTCGAGTCTAGCCGTTTACAAGACGTAAGTAATAAACAAACGGAGTATTTCTTCAAATTTGTAGCTATGAAAAATTCAGACTGTGTACACAATACCTTCTTTTCTCGTTCCTTATCTTATTCCTTTTGTAATACAGTGTAATGCTCTCTCTTTTTTCTGTAAACAGTTTTTCTCCTTATTTCTGCGTCAGAATTTTATTCTATCACAAAAATCTTCAAATCGTTCAGTTGATGTTACTTTATATTGTTATCGTCAAATTAGATTTCTATTATATTATATCTTGGTATAGGAGCGTAATAGGTTGAAAGAGCGATTCCCTAGCCTCGCTCTCGCCGAGTCCGACGCCGAAGCTTGCAGATCCACCCTGAGGAATTACGAAACACTGGCTCTAGCGAAAGAGGTTTGCGAGGGTAAATGCGCCATGGGACGCACTTGTCCGACCGGGCTTTGCCGTCAGGCAACTAAAAGGTAATTACAATGAAAATCTCAGTTGTAAAGCGATGTACACATCGTTACCCTGTCCAAGTATAATGTGGCAAAAAGAGAATTACTAAAAAGTTATCATGCACTAGACTAGAAAATGAAATCAAACGGAGATGATAGAGGATGTTACGTAGAATAAATAGTGTATCTAAATCAGGACTCTGAGAAGGAAGTCATCCACCAGCAGTATCGGAAGCGTGTCATCCGGCAGGACACCTCCGCAAACACCACGGATGCTACCATCCGCACCACCCTCACCGGCTTTGCACAGATCATCTAGCGTTATGTCCACATCGAGACCGAGGAGTGGACCGGCAGGATTGCATTCTTATACCGGAGGATCCGCTCCTCCTTCTAGGTAAATCTTTTCAGAAATTCTCGAAATTGTATTATTTTATTAAAGCGTTACAACCTACAATTATAATTATATTTATAGTATTTTCAATTGTGACATTTATATTCACAAAAATATCAGATTGAGAGGGAAAACATATTTTTTTTACCAAGAGAAAGTAGATTATTTATTAAAGAAAAGAAAATAAACGGACGTGTTTTCGGACGTTACTTGGATATCGCAAACTGAGACGCGTTTCTTGAAGAAAGGGAAATATTAAGTTAGGGCTGTTTTTCGGCTAAAATGCGCAAAAGTTCCGAGATATATAAATTATATATCATATTAAAGGATTACTTAAACGGAGTCGAGCGTATCGCTTATTTTAGAGAAATACTGGAATCATAGAAGAAATCGCTAACAAAAATAATAAATCTAAAAGTTAAGTAAAATATTGATATATCCTAAAAATTAAACAGAAACTGTATTGTTAGTACTTAAATACAGGATTGGGAAGTTACTTTTTTAAAGTAACGCGTTACCGCTACCGTTATTTGCGGTAAAAAGTAACTCGTTGCCGATTCTAAAAAGTAACTCATTACCGTTACTTAAAAGAAACGATAAAAAATCGTTACTTTTCATTACTTTTTTTGTAATTATGCACGATGAGACGAGTTTATTATTCACCGATTTTGATGAAATTAGATTATTATTCGTCACGTTTTTGTACGAAATGAACGAATCTGGCAGAAAAATAAGTGTGTCCGGTAAACTGAGATTAATGGTTAAAATTGATGACTATTGAGGTAAGGAAATCTGTTATAATTTTATCAAAAATCGATGAATAAACCTGTCTTCTGTATAATTACACTTTTTAAAATAGCAAAACAGGCTTTTAGGAGACAGAGTATAAATAAACTATAAGAAAAACATTTATCTTTGAACATTTTTATCTTTTGTCAATATTTGATATACTTATGTTTCATTTTGTGGTATTTTATTATATAGATAGATATTTTAATTTTGATATAGAATTTTTAGTGTTCTCATAAAGCGATAGATGATTGAAACCAAAATAGGCAAAAAGTTTTTTGTTTATTTAGCATCTACAATTTTATTGTCCGTCACAGCCGTGACCTATAAAAAAATAACGATACGAGAGTAACGAGGTCAATTTCGTTACTCATTACTAAAGAAGATGTAATGTGCCGTTACTTTTTCGTTAATAAAAAAAAAGTAACGGCGTTACCAAATCGTTATCAAAAAAAGTAACAAGTAACGCGTTACTTCCCAACCCTGCTTAAATACGT